GTTATGTTAAACTTATATTACATTTTTTCTTCATTACCCATTCAAGCCGTCTCCAGCCATTATTACAGAGTGTTATGTTTAACTACAGCTCTGTAACGATCTAGTTTGCAGAGTTTTATGTTTAACTAGAGTTCTGTAATGTTCTAATTTACAGAACGTTAGATTCAACTAGAGTTTTGTGATCTTCTAGTTTACAGAGTCCTGTTTGTAGCTCTTCTGCCCAGTAGATAAGGTTCTGTGTTTTCATTCCAATATGTTTTTTAACCAAAAGTTTCTATCTTTACAGTTCAGCTTACACCATGGCAGCACTTCAAACACAAGGAGGACCCCGAAACCTAGTACAAGCATTAGGATTAGCGACTGTGACTCTGTTTCTATGTGGAAATTGTCCTTTTGTCCACTGTGAAATGTCAGAACTAAAGAACGTCTCGTCGTCACATAAATCCCGATTACCGTCTGTCTGTCCGGCGGAGTTTCAAGGCAAATGCCATTGTGGGGAAGTACCGTACGGACCCCAAGGCAAATTGACTTACGTTACGAACTGCACGAACACAAATTTTACTGACGCAGTGATGCTAAAAGAGCTACCGTTAGAAACCGAAGTTCTTATTTTCACTGGCAACCATATTCCCGACCTGCCTTTTAACGTGTTTGGCACTGCAGCGTTTTACAGCAGACTCCACATCATTGACATGTCTAACAATCATATCCAGAGTATCAAGGGAAAGACCTTTCACCACGTCAAGTTCGTAAAGAAGCTAGTGCTGAATGACAACGACCTATACATCGTTAGCAAGGATGAACATCCTCGTATGTTCAAAAACTTTTATAATCTGGAGGAACTGCATCTGAAGAACGCCTTCACCGAAAAAGTCTCTAATTACTTATACAACCTAGAGGTCGCCTTTCAAGACAGCCAGCTGGATAACTTGCGGGTTTTAAACCTGGAACAGAACGAATTTAGTAGCATTTTGAATGAAAACTTCTTTTGTTCCATGCCATCACTAACGGAAATTCACGTGGGAGGAAACAGAATGAAAGACTTCCGGTTGAATTCTACTTGTCTTCCGCGCTTGAATCTCGTTGATCTGAGTAATAACAATATACAAGGTTTAAAAAATTCAACGATGCACCTTTTAGACGCTGTGCCTGGATTGGAAGTAAACTTGACAGGGAATCCATTTGAATGTGACTGCCACCTAGTGGATATGTACCGTTGGTTGGCCACCACTAAAACAAGGGTAACCGGTAAAGAAAGGTTTCAGTGTGTAACTGGGTTTCCTCCCAAAAACGTTCGGAAACTGATAAGCCATGTTCCACTTTACGATCTGGAATGTCCCTTGAAAAGAACTGATTTTCACGGTCACCTCAGCGCCTCCTATGGAGTGATGGTGTTAATAATAGTGATCTGTGTGGTAATGGTGTCGTTACTCGTTTATAGACACCGATGGGCTATCTACGAGTTTGCTCGAAGCTGGTCTCAGCCAATCAGAAACAAGATGAAATATTCTTCTCTGGATAAACGCGAAGAAGCTGAGATGGAAGTGTAAGGTGTTACAGTTATTGTCATAAATAATAATAGATCAAACAAGTGCGTTTCGGTCCACATATAGGTAGGTTAGCCATGAAATACGCCTTTCTAAGGTTTAAAACATCACGAACACCTTTACAAAAGTAACATCTCACATTCAAAATTGTATTAAATGTACAATTTGTCTACGCATGCGTGTGGTATAAAAAGTTTAGTATGCCAGCGTAAGCGTATACGAGAATGCGAATGAGACATATATTAGATATCGGCTATGTTTTTTAACCTAAACTACGTCAATGTTTACTTACTTTTAGAGGATAAAATTTTTCTCACCAAGATTTAAGAAACAAACGTTACTGTAGTTTAGTGATTGACTAACACACTGAAATGCTTTATTTCCACAACCAGGACTGATGGTGTATTTAAAAATACAGCCCGTGCATGGTTTGGATAATATGTATTTGGTGTTTATTTTTTAAATAAAAGAACAAATATTTTTGAACATTTTATGATAGTTTACTTTTTCTAAACAATTGTGTATTAGTCAGTAGGAAGAGATTGTTTTCTGTTGTTGATGGCTGGTTTTCTAACTGGAGTGGCGATGATTTCCAATATATTTAGGTCATTTTCATTGCTGGCTTGTAAAATAATTTTGAACTGCTGTTTGCATATCTCCAACGTGTGTGTGTGTTGGTGCAGAGTTTTTAAACACCAATGTTCTTTGTGTCTCTGCTGAAGGCTCCTGGCGGTGGAACCAGTGTACTCAAGTTTGCAACTTGGACGTGTGTTAAAATAGACGACAGAGGACTTGTGCGTAAAGCCAGCGCTAAATAACAAAGAACAGGCTCTATCTCTGAGACAGAAGGAAAACTTGGAGCTAGATCGGGGCACACCTTAGGCTTGTTCATTATCAATGTGTACATAAATCAATTTATGTCAACTGTTACTTTATGCGTTAACTGAGGTAAGTTCAAAACAACGACCATTGTCATCCCCGAATCAACAAAACCCTCAAAGTTATGGAGAATTCAATACGTTAAACTAAAATGATTTTGAATGTACAAGTTAGCAAGTCATGTATCAACCACAGCCGATATGACGTCACAGTGGAACGGAATTGCCAGAACTACATTTTGACCTTGTTTGGCGTTACGTTGGAAGTGTTATGTTACCAAAAACGGATCCCTTTTGGAGTATGTAACACTCAAGTTATGAAGATGTATTCGGATCGGAGACGTAGAACTTCCAAGACGGGGATATCCTTTTTGCTTAGTGGCATTAGGAAAAACAACGGGATATGGGTCAACTTGGGACACCAGGACCATCCAGAAAGAGATCTACAAGAAGTCTTACATCAACTATAGTAAGCAAAGTGTTGGATCTTGTAACAAATCAGATTCCACGAAAACAGAGGTCAGTGGTACAAGACATCCACGTGTCCCAGTAAACAGAAAACAACATAACCAAGAAGTATCACCGTCTGGAAAAGCGATACAAGCTACGTGTTTAGAAGCTGCTTCCATGACATATCAGTCCAACCATCACATATCTCAAGCAGCTGCAAAATGAAATGGGTATTCAAGCTATTCCATACGAAGACATGTCGGTTAAGTCACCGGACGCAGCACCTGTGGATGTCTGTGCAATTAGACTGTTGAAATAAGAGATGGAAAATCGCCGTCTTCGTACACTAGATATACTATGGAAAACAGGCAGGGAGGAAGGGTGTGCTTTGAACATGACAGCTTTATGATTGAGACTCATCATCATGTGCCAGCTTCCTCAGGAAGGTTGGCTGTTACAATCCTCCACTTCTGTCTGTTCTGTGCTTTTCTCACCAGGTTTTCATATTTTGCTATCTCAGTCGACTCTTTAATATTTGTTATCCACTTTGGTCTGTTCTGTATCTTTTCCCTTCTATTTGACCCTCTAGTAGGACTCACTGTATGTTGTCTCGTCTCATCATATGACCAAAATATGCTAATTTTCTCTTCTTGATGGTTGGTACAATATATCTTTCACATTCACCATACTTAGAACCTCTTCATTCGTTACCGGTGCCCGGCAT